TTATTAATAAGATGTTTAGAGTGTTAGAGAGAGGTTATGTTCGAACCTCTTACTCTCTAACACTCATTGCCGCCAGCTCTTTCTTCTCTACTTCTCTTGTTTGTTCTCTTTTCTGGTTTGCATCTAATCTCAAACAGTTCCACACAACAAGTGGGCTGTTTTTCAACTGATCTATACTGTGAAGTACAGAGCTAATGAAAGCATAGAAATGTACAAGGCAATGATGGTTGCAAAAGGGTATACTCAGACTTATGGGATAGACTACTTAGAGACTTATGCATCAGTGGCCAAGCATGTATTTTTTAGTATCTTTAACAGCCAATGTTTTAAAACACAGAGGTGTGAGGCATAAGCCTCAAGCATGTATTTTTTAATAATTATAGTGGGTATATATTAATAAAAAATAGATATTTCGAGCATAAAAACATACATAACACTTAAAATGACTTAATTTGAGTTGTCAAGTTGTCAATAGACTCAATATTTGGGTTTTGAATCTCAAATTTTCAACTCAAGTTCATTTCTACTTCAAGTAGCAACATACAATTCTTGATTCAGCTATACAATATAGAATTATTGGCTACAAAAAAAAAAAAAATTAAACTTTTAAAGACTGAAACTCAATCAAAAGGCTCTAAATGATCATCTTTCAAAGAAACAAAGGCATCATCATCAGCTTCAATATTTGCATCTACATCATTTGGTTCATTTCTCTCTATTTCATGTTCATCCTCATCAATTAAATTTAAATCCACACTATTGCCTTTCCTTGCAGTCCCTACAAACAAAATCCAATTGCAATATAACAATATGTCACCTCGCTCATAACAATGCTCAACTATAAAATTAATTAGAACACTAGAAATTTAGAATATAATAAATAGACATTAATTATTACTTATTTTGAGATTTAGTAGCTTGAGCTTTTTGACTTCTACAATCAAATGTCTTCTTACCACTATCACATAGGCCCCTCTTTGTCCCACTTTGTCCCACTTAATTCTAGTGTTTGGGTTCCAAAACGTGCCCACCAATTAACTAGAAAAGTATCATATAATAAGACATTAGTAAAGCTTTAAAATATCTAAAAAGTAATTAAGCATACTAGTTATCAAACAACTAAACCACTTACCAGGAGATCGACTCTTCTTATATCAATTGCCATGTCACAACTAAAGTCTCCTAGTGCTTTATCATATATATCCAACTGGCAATTTGCTAGAGCACACTCATGTCTATCAAGGATCGTCCTTTTCATGTATTCAAATAACCCCTCTTACTTCTCGATCATTTTTAAAAAATTTGACTCATAGCGTAGCTGTGAGCTTAAATAATAGCCTACTGCATGAAGAGGGACATAAAGTTGAGGGGTCCATCTTTCATCAGTCTTATTCCAAAATAGGCATATATTTTCTCATTTTCCCACCATAAGAAAATGCAATTTGCTCCTTTGCTAAATCCATCATTTCATACAAATAAGGCATTGAGGGTCTTACTTCAGAATCAATTTTTCTTAACACTATAACAATTAGCAAAGTGGTCTTTACACAAAATGCCACATGAGGCCAAAATTTACTATCAAACATTATAGTATGTTTTGCATTGTTACCCCCAGGATGCTTACTCCAATGGCTCTCATTCCACTTTTCAGAAGCAAACATTGATTGAGGAGGTTGGTTTTGTTTATAAATACTTTGCAATATCAAGTAAGCTCTCAATTTTTTGTGATACTCCTTAATTAGTTTAAAACTCATCCATGTCGACAAACAAATTTTGACTTGCTTTGCATGTTCAATTGTTTCATTAAAAAATTTCAACTTTCCAATTGACTCTAACATCAAACCTATTCAATGTGCAGCACAAGGAATCTAATACAATTTTGACCTCTTTTCCATCAACTTGAGTGATTATTTGTGATTACTTGAACCACATTATTCTCTCTTACTTCTTCAACAACATTATCAAGATACTAAAAAATAAGTTCCCCATCATTAATTGAATCGGATGCATCAATAGATTTAAGAAACATAGCCCTACTTGGACTCTTAACAAGAAAATTGATAATGAACCTTTTTTTTTCCATGAGTCCATCCACCAATCGTGCAACCATACTCCTTCCATGATTTCCTATACTCCTCCATCGATTTATTTATATTCTCCACTTCTTTTAAGATCCTAGTGCAAAGATCGTGCAAGGATGGAAGCTTATAACTTGGACAAAAATTTGCAACCGCCTCACACTCTTTAAGTAAGGACTATTTGCTAAATTAAAAGATAAAACATTGGCATAAAAGCATCTTCCAATAGCCTTATATACATCCTATTTTTGTTCTTTTTTCCACTGTGAATTTAATGTATATTGGTGTGGCTCAACTGAAATAAACTAATCCATTGGATCTGCTAATCGTGGTGGAAATGATTGTAGAGTCCCACTTTCACTTTCCAAAATAGACTCCTCAAATCTAGAATTAGGAGCCATACACATTCCATTTTGAGGAGCCATAGAAAGTTTACGATTAAACCTCCCAACACTAGATAAAAATCTGCCTTCTTTTTTTTTCTTCATTTAAAATTCAGTTAGTCCATTTCGGCATCTTACTTTTACCTCTTTAGGGCATTGTTTGCACTCACTCATTCCATTTTGGTGCCAGCTAAATGATGTTTTAACCGATTTATGTCTCTTGTGCACAATTTACTACAAAATGCACAATAAATAATAGCCCCTTTTCCCCTCCTCTTCCTTAACATACTCCCAAGCAAAATCCTTTCTAGACATTCTAGACTCTGGATGAAATAGAGATTAGAAAAATGATCAAATTGCAGCACCTAATCAAATTAAAAAAAAAAAAGTGCGAGTTAAATACTTCAATCCATCACTTTAAGTTTCTAGTTTCTACAAGTATTCAAGTAATTCACAAATCACTTTAAGTTTTCCCTCCTCTTCCTCAACTTGTCATTCCCTCATTTCTCTCTTATCTCTGTTTCTCCTCTCATTGGTGGTGCTGCATTAGGTGGTCTTCTATGCATGTCACTAAACCATCTCAGTCTACTTTCTCTCATTTTATCACCTATTGGAGCTAGTCCTAGGTTTCTTTATATGACTTCATTTCTGACCCTGCCCTTTATAGTTTTACCACTCATTCATCTAAGCATTCACATTTCTGCCACACCCATTTTTTGCACATGTTGTTTCTTAACTGCCCAACACTATGCTCCCTAACAAATAGCTGCATTACAACTATTTTATAGATTTTTCCCTTTAGCCAAAGTGGTATCTTCCCATCACATAAGTCTTCAAATGTACTGCTCCATTTTTGCCATCCTACTCTAATTCTCTGAGTGGCATCTCCCTCAATCTCTCCTTTTTTATGGATTATTAAATCAAGATGGAATAGGTCACATTGGGTTCTTTCTCAGTCTCCAATCCTAAGTGTACCCTGGTTTGCACTCCTACTATTATTAAATTTACATCGCATACATTTTGTTCTAGTCCTACTTATTTTAAAGCCCCACGTTTTTAATGCAAAACATAGTTATAAAAAAAAATGCAGGATCCAATCCCAGGCTTGCCAGCTAAATCTCAAGTAAGAATAACAAGAGAACCTATGAATCTTGGAAAATCAAGTCCCCAGGATCCAGCCCCATGTTTGTGATGCTTTTAGTAAACAATATGTTGTAATATGGACCCAAGAAACCTGGGATACAAGCCCTTTAAGTGGTTCAACTCCTCTTTGAACCCAGAAGAATTCCCAAAAAAAGCATCATTACTTCCAAAGCCCATGTGTCATGATGAATTGATGATCATTTTATGAAACATTTTCCTAACATTCCATCAAGTTACAGATTTCCATAATGCTGCCTCTGTGGAGATGAAATAATATATAAAAGAACTGAAATATTCATTAAAAAAATGTGATAACTATGACTAARATTTTACCTCTATCTAAGACAATGCAGTCATTGTGATAGATGTCATAGCGACTCAGCCAACCACCAGTTCCATGCCCTCCAAATAGTAAGAGCTAAACACATTAAGTAAGAGAATTTTTCTTATCATGAAAGGAATTCTGATAGAAACTATAGCAAAAGCTGGTTCATGTAATGCAGAAAGTACTTAAAAACCAAATGCTTGAGAAATTAACTAATTACTAAAGCTATACCAAAACATACAAGAAAGGCTCAGCTTCTCTAGTTTTCTGTTAACAATGTTTCAAGTTCAAATTCAATATCTAGATAAGGAGTTCTATGGATGCAATGTAACCTTCTTCCCTTGAATTGCACATTATACAAAATCTACGGGCATGCAATCTTCCTTCCTTGATTTTCACGGAAAACATTTTCTGTTAACACTCCTTTGATAAACAAAATATCTCTAATTTCATATTAATACTGCTTCAAGTTCAAATGTAATATCTAGATAACAAGCTCTACAGATGTGTGCAAATTTCAGCCATGATTTGCATAAAGCACATTGATTTTCCAATCTTTCCATTGTTTAAAGTTATCCACCATAAGGATCTTCTTAAGGATTACCAACCATGTGAAGGCTTTTAAGCTCAGGAGGATGAGGCACCACTGGCCCCCTAATGAACTTGCCATTAAAAGATTTTACTATGAAATATTTTAGAGTGATATTTTTTTCCCACCCATTACATTGAAACAAAGGTAAAGAGAAAAATAGATGTCAATCTGCCCATAGACCAACATCAATTCTAACAGGAATCAACTGCACTGCAATGACAACAAAAAGAAATCCATTCTACACTACTAGGTCCTGTAATCCCGAAATGATTAATTTGAAAGTCAAGATGATAGGATGAGATTTTTATACTATTTGCCCAGCCTTATGCCTGGACCTTCCATTACCTTACATTCCCAAGCAATCACAACTGTGCTCACCATATGAACATAGAGGAGAAACCTGGAATACCCAGATGCAGTTCTATAACTTCAGTTCAACTGTCAATACCGTCAAGTTTTTTCCTGTTTATTGTCATTGTCAGCTCTGCCCTCCTCAATAAGCTTCTTCATCACTTATTGATGAGAGGATTGTTGTTGGAAGCACAATGCTTGGTTGAATAACAGAAAATAGTTCATCTGATGTTTTATAAGTTATGATGCAATCTTTTAAAAAATGACACTGTAACAAATACAAATATGTGAACATTTAGAATTTTAGTTTTAATGGACTGCAAAATTTGAAGAAATAAATTCCCAACCATGTTACATGGATACTGATTGTTGGAAGCTCAAATAGGTAATAAGGTGTTGGACTTGGCAAGCCTAAAAAAATAGGAGTTGGATAATTGGCTGCCATGCTATAGTCTTAAGTTCTAATTTTCGATGACACTTTTATGCTGCATAAAAAAGAAAGCCACTGAAAAGAAAAAAAGGTGATTATATAAAAAGTAAATGCATATATATATATATAGGCCCACAGTATACTTGTAAATCCCAGTAGTATACTTTGTCAACTAATTTCTGCCCTACTAATGTGGCTGAGTTAAAGAAGCATATAACCCTATAAAGGATGTGATTTTGGAAGCTCTTTCCTTGACTCCAAACTTTGAGGAGGGAAATCACAAAGCTAGAAATTGAGTTGACGAGAACATATAGAGAGGCTCCAAGCTCAGCTAACAGTATTACTGATGGACTAGCAAAACAAGGGGCAAACAGAAGTCAAATGTAATGTGAATTCATATGCAAAATTTTGTTTAAAGAGGCTATCCCAGACTATCTACCTTTTGGGGTGCTTGGCACATGATTTAACAATTTAACAATTTTTATACATACTTTTGACTGTTACCAATAAAAAATGTCACCGGGATGTATAAGACCATATGATGTCTCATGCATTTCAATTCCTACATGGGTATGAAGGACAAATGAAAGACAGACCAGAAAATAAGCATGCGAAACAGAATAAAAGAAAGAAAGGATCTCAAGATTTCATTACATAATGTCCTCCTGAAGCTATTGTATGGCCACAACGAGGAGAAGGCGACTGGCCAGGAAGCTTCAGCTGGGTCCACCCTGGTGTTTCATTGTCTACCTTCCACAAAACAAATAAGAAAAACGTCACCCTGCTTTATTTATATTAGTAAAAAAAAAAAAAACTTAATTTAGCTTAGGAAAGAAGTAACGCAAAGACTGGAACAGAAGCATGTATATTGTTTTCAAAAGAAAAAGAACAAAAAATACACAAGCGGATAGCATAACAATTGGTTAAATAAACAAGCAATAAATACATAGTAAGCTAAGCATAACAGAAGTTCAGCAGATAGTCCATAATTCACAAAAAAAATGGAATGACAGAAAAACAAATGGAGGTTTTTAAAGATAGAATATTGATAGAAATATATTCCTCAATAGCCGATTTTCTTTAATGTAAGAATGAAAAGTTATATTAAAGAAAAGAAAAAACTGAATAGCATCAAATGGCAGGTGTTAAGATAACACCCCATAAACTCAAGAAAAAATCCTACCAACCACTCTAAAACAGCTTACAGGGACAGAAACAAAAATTGAAACCATTCTTGCACAACAACAACAGCACCTACAAAGCTCATGTTAATCTTCCACCTCACGAAACTTTTCCATACCTCCTTCCTTATACCAAATTTCTCCCCCTAACGCTTCAGAAGCTTTCCTCGTACTTTCTTCCTTCCTCTTCCTCTCGGAAGCTTCAAAAGCTCTCCTAGCAAAGCTCTCTCACCTCCCAAAAACTTACAAGTCCAAGACTTGCCAATTTCCATCTCTTTATTGACTAAATTTCTGAAATCCAAGCTTCCTTCTTCATCTCCTTCCTCTCCAGCAGTGCCTCACTGCCTCAGCAGAGAGCTCTTTAATTTAATTTCCACTACTAGCCTTCTCCTCTAACACGTCCTTTTTTGACTCCTCCCCTTGAGGATCCACTAGAAGATTCTTCTTCCCATCTCCTTGTAAAAGTCGGTTTTCCACATGATGATCCTCAAGACTAAGAGCTATGAATTTCACTACTTTTCTTTTATAAATCCTCTTATATTTGTTGGTCAGGCCAGCCCCCACCAGGCCATCTTTCAGCCTCAAAAAGACCTTCGTAACATGAACAACATTGTACTTGAAGCTCTGGACTTCTTTGAGACCTCCAAAGCATCACCACTTCAAGCCAAAACAATCACCTTCCCCCTACGACCCAAATCAACTCCCAATCTTCCAACGACCACTTCAAAGTCCGAATAGTTGGAGTTTCCCCCTAACAAAGAATCTTGAATCAAATTTTTGAAAACACTCACCTTCTTACCCTCACCTCCTTTTATGCCACCTCCCTTCTCATTATCCTTGATGTTCACCACCTCCACCCTAACTCCACTCATATCCCCATCTCCTGACTCCACCCCCTTTGTAAACCCTTCATGCAAATCAACAACTAAGTCCCTATTTTCCTAGCTCAACATGGTAGAAGAAATAGAACTAGAACCTTGTGTGCCTTCAATTGACTCAAGAGACAAATCATCAGACCTGAACTTAAATAGCTTTCCTTGAAGAAGCTCCTCAGACCTTGATTTAGATTCGCAATTCTCAAGGCAACAAGCATTTGTGAGATTGCCAATAAACTACAGCCTCCAAATAACTAGCGAATGAGCCTGCCTTTCAAGGAAGAACTCACAGACCTAGAAGCAGCCCAATCACAGCTCTACTTTTATTAAGGGCCCCACACTTCTTAAAAACATATAAATGTTTCACACCTAAACCCATATCTTTAAAACAATGAGAACCACTTTCCTCCTTAAAAAGTGGACCCTACTTATTAACTACTCCCAACAAGTCATTTATATAAAATTCACGAAAGGCCCCTGTTGAAATAATTTAGTTATTTGTGTTAGGGTCTGTTTGGCTAGTTAAAGCGTTTTCTATTTCTATTTTTTTATTTCCGTTATGTCTGTTATTGTACTCACTTACAGCAGGGGCACAAGGGTCTTTTCCCTTCTTATTTCTGCCGCCCTATATAATATAATAAAAGTTGGCGCCACCAGCACTGTTCCATTGCCAATCTCTTCTCTTCTCCCTTCTCTCTTCTTCTTCTCTTCTCTTCTCTTTCTCTTATTTCTGGCCAGCCACACTGTCAAGATGGTATCAGAGCAGGAATACTGATTGAGAGAACAGATCGAACAAGCTTCCTTCCTTTTCCAACTTGCTGAATCTGGGCGGAACAGAGATCTGAATCTGGGCTGAAGAAAACATATCTACAACCGGTACAGTCCTTCCTTTTTTGTCTCTTCCTTACCCTCCTTGGTCGTGTACCAAATGAATCTGGGCTGCTGAATGCTGTCAGACCTTTGTGAGGTTTATACCTCTTGTTATTTGGGATCGTGTGATCCTGTTCCTGTGTTAAGGTGACTGTAGGTCACRGATGACCTGTTATCTCAATTTTTTGGCTTGATTATAAGTGTTAAGGATCTCTCCTGCTGATTAATGTTCTTAGAAATTCTGGAAGGCTGGTAGGTTGGGACTGTTAAACCGTACAGGTCTGAAATCTGCCAAATCTTGCCTTTTTTGTCCTGAAATTGATACTGTTTGTGCTCAGATTGTTTTCAAACCCAAGTGTGTGGGTGTGGACTGAGTACGTGTGTGGAACAATTTTGTTTTGGAGTAAGGAAGGATCCTAAGTCCAGTGTTTGGGACTGATTGTCTGTTTTGACCATGTCGTCTGAGAATTCTGCTACTTCAGAGATTCCAGGGAGCCACAATGGAGTGAGTGGGGGAATGGATATGAGTTTYCCCRTGGCTGTTATTCCCTTTRATKGTCTRAAYTACCTTGAGTGGTCTAGGGGAATAAAACTCTACATCACTGYTAGGGGGAAAATAGGATACATCAATGGGAGAGTGAAGGAACCGAAGTA